CGGCGAGGTTCTGGAGCGAGCGGTGACCAACCAGCTCCAGGCACTCTTGGCTGAGACGGATTGTCTGGATCCGTTCCAGTTGGGGTTCAGGCCCATTTGGGGCACAGAAGCGGCTTTGGTCGCCCTGTATGATGGCCTGCTCTGGGAGAGACAGGGAGTGCGACCCTGCTGGTTCTCCTGGGCCTCTCAGCAGCTTTCAGTGCCATCAAGCACAACATCCTTCCGGGGCAACTGCCTGAGTTGGGTGCAAGAGGGTGGTTCCTGGGGGATGGTGCCCTGCCCCTTGGATCCTCCAGTGTGGGGCTCTGAGGAGTCAGTCTTGCCCCCCATGTCATTTAACATGAAACCGCCAAGTGAGGTCACCTGCAGTTCGGGGGCACATGTCCCAGTGTGCTCCCTCCCCTTTCCCTCTTCAGCAGGTGAGGCCGTGGAGGTGCTGCCCCGGCGCCTGGCTGCAACAGTGGACGGGATCAGGGCGACCAAGCTGGAGCCCCACCCAGGCAAGACGGAGATGCTGTGGTGGGTGGCTCTTCTGGCCCGGCGGAGGGAGCCCAGTCTGTTCCGGACGGGGGTGCTCTTCCCTCGGAGGAGCAGGTTTGCAGCCTGGGGGTGCTGCTTGAGCCGGCCTTCTCCCCTGAAGCCAGCTCGGAGTGCCTTCCAGCAGCCTCAGCACCTGCCACGGGCCTGTTTGGAGGCCACAGCTTGTGCAAGGCATGTTTCCTTGATGCCTCCAAGCCCAGTTCAAAGTGGTGATTTTAACCTTCGCACGAAGCCCCGCAAGGCTTGGGGCCACAATACCTGAGGGAGCTTTCTTCTTCCTGGACATGTTCTGGGGCCTTTCTGATTGCCACCTCCAAGGGAGCCTCACAGAGAAGCAACGAGGAAAACAGCCTGTTCGGTGGAGCCCCCACCCCGTGAAGGAACAGGCTTCCCGCTGTGGCGCACCTGGCGCCCACCTCACGATCTTTTCAGCGTCAGGCGAAGACTGTTCTCTGCCGCAGAGCATTTGGTTAGTAACTGGGGCCTGCTGGTTGTGGGGCAGGGTTTAACAGGGCTTTTTAACATATGATTTTTTCTGTTTTTATTTGCTTTTAAATTCTGCACTGCTAATTTTTATAGTTTTCATATGTTAATTGGTGTATGTTGTTTTAAAATACGCTGCCATGAACCACCCAGAGAGCTTTGGTTGTTGGGCAGTAAAGAAATGAAATAAGATCTTGGTCAACAACAGATGATTCTTTAGATACAGGAAACCGGCTTGAGGCAAATGGAGCACCGCACGGGAGGAGATGGCCAAGGAGCCAAAGATTCTCTTTGTGTCTTCACTTTAAAGGCGGAACAGCAACTTCTGCCTGAACTGATACTTTCAGCTGTCCGAGCAAATAGTATCGAGAAGGGATTCCCACTATTTTTAGAAGTAATTGATAAAATGAACGAAAAAAACCCCTTTGGGTCCAGATGGCCGCCATCTGAGTGCTTGAACAACTCGGAAGTGAGATCGCTGCTCCGTTAGGACGATGCAACGTGCCCCTGAAAGTGGCCTCCGCATCGGGGACTGGAAGGCGGCCAGCGCAATGTCGGACTGAAAAAGGGGACCTGGGAATTGCAGGACAGTTCGCCTGACATCAATCCTGGCTAAACTGATGGCATGTATTATTAACTACCAGGCATATCAAAACACATGTGCTGGTGAAGACGACTCCGCATGGCTTCTACAAAGTCATGCCGTCCCACTAATTTTACTGGGGCTCCTTGGAGAGTGTCAAGGCGCACATGGATAGCATAGGGCTGATCCTGCAGACCTTGGATTTCAAAGGGCTTTTTGGAGAGTCCCTAACCGAGCGGCACGATGCTTGATTTAGTCTAGTTTCATGTAGTCTCGTGTCTCCACCTTTCTGAGGCCTTTTAAGAGTCCGCAAGGGAAGCAGAGCGCGATTTCTGCCCTCTCTCACGGTCCTTGTCCCCGGTGCCGTGACGGGAGAGTCAGGACAGAGCAAGGAGGCACTTCTTCGCACAGGACAAAGCCCAGCTATGTGATTTCCGCAACATGCTGTGACTGCCAGCATCCCGGAGAGCTTTAAGGGAGAACGAGACCAGTTCGTGGAGGGGCAAGGCGTAGCAACCGTCGCAACAGGGGAAGCAGCACCTCTGCCTGTGGGTTGCTGGGAAGCAGAAGCTGGCGGGTGCTTGGGCATGGCCCCCCACCCTGCTTGCAGGATTCCCCAGAGGCAGCTGGCAGGCCAGTGGGGGGCCGCCAGTATGGTTCACTTCCGGGGTTTTCGTCCCATCAGTAAATAATGCATTCCACCATACAAAGTGCCGAAAAAGCAAAGGGCGTGCCAGGAAGGGTACCATGAATTAAGGGAGTGGTGGGCACGAGCTCAATGCAAAAAGCAAGGAAGAGGCAACCTGTGACATGCAGGTGCGTGGGGGGGGGTCACACGGTGGTGGGTAGGGGCTCATTTTCCCCTGTGGAGGAGGGCAGGACGCACTCCAGCAGAGCCACTCCAGTGGATACAAGGAAGTCCCTCCTCACACAACTGTGGAATTTGCTGCCACGGGGAGCGGTGAAGGCTGCCCATCTGGGCGGCTTTACAAGGGTGGGCGGGCTCGTGAGGGAGGGGCTACCGGGGCCGCTAGCCCTGCTGGCCACGTGCCCCCCCTTCCCCAGAGGCGGCTCGCCGGCACATGCCAGTGGCCGAGGGGCTCGGGTGGGGGAGGCCTTGCCCGTCCTGCTGGAGGGGTCTGGGGCAGCCAGTTTGCCTCCGTGTGTGCGGAGGGCCGGGCTGGGTGGGCCTTCGGCCTGATCTGGCAAGGCTTTTATGTTCTTAAGCGCTTCAGTTTTTTTAAAGCAGAAATCCAAGAGACGGGGCCTTAATTTACTTGATGTCTTAACTTCCATGAGATGGTCAACCATTTTATGTGCCAAGGAAACTGGCAGATTTTTCTGTTTGTAACCTCAAAGGCAGCGGCCTCCTTTCTCCAAGAGCAGAAACAGAGGAGGCGAGAACAGTTGCCTACGGCCAAGCAAGCCTTGCGTGAAGGCCTGGACTGGCTGCCGTGGCTGCCGCAGGTTACCACTTGGCATAACGAGAGAGATCTTTCCGATCCGGTCTCTCTCTGGTCTGCGACCCGGGCGAGTAAAGCAAGGCCCCAGCTGGCCGTGGAGGACGGGCTCTGGATGAGGGGGCGGCAGAGCCGGGTCCCGAGTGGCGCGGGCAGCAGCAGCTCTGCGCTACACTGAGGTGGCAGGTGCATGATACGGATGCAGCGGCTCACGAGTGACTCACGAGGAGCACAGAGGGGGCCCGGGCCTGGGCCTTGCAGCATGACGTCTTCCGGAGGAGGGAGATCTCTCTGCACAGGTAGCGGCGCTCGCTGGACTCGCTCTGCAGCAGAAAGGAACCTCGAGACTGGTGCCTTCTCCCCCCCACCAGGAGAAAAAGCCCTGCCCCCACCCCCCGCAGCCAGCACACTGCAGGCACAACCGGGAAGCAGGACTGCTGCCCCGCTGCCCAGGCGTGCCAGGACGCTCCCCCGGCAGCTGTGCCAGCCCCCGCCGGGAAGGCCAGGACTTCACTCCCACAGGAAAGCAGAGCTTCAAAGGCCCCGGGACGCCTGCCCAGCCCCAGCTGCCCGGCCTGGGAACAGAAATCCAGGGACACCTGAAGCAGAGCCCCATGAAATCGGGGGTGGGAAGCGGGGCCAAACACAGCAGCAGCTGCTGAAGGGCAGGCCAGGCACTTCCTGCCGCCCCCGCAAGGCGCACCGCCGGGAAACTGGCCACTGTGGGGCCGCCGCTCCGCACCCAGCTGGGGCACAAGCGGCTCCCCAGAGGGCCTTCAGGAAAGCTCTGGCAACGGGGGGTGGGCAGAGGCCCCGGTGGGGAAGGGCAGCCGGAAGAGGTGGGCGAAGCCGGGGGGGGGGGGGCGTGGGCCTCGCGTTGCCGGAGCTGCACTGGGCACCTGCCCGGAGCAAGCACTCCCTGCTACAGATGCTGGGAAAGATGATCGGTGAGGAAGCACAGGCCCTCCCTCAGCAGCCTATTTTTAGCCCAGCTACAGGCTGGGTGCCCCACGAAAAAGCCCAGCAAAAACCCAGCACGCACACAAGGCAGGGGAGCCGAGGGGCCGGAGCGCGAGCCGGCCAGGGGGAGTGGCGGCAGCTCCGCGAAACGCCGCTGCGAGGGAGGGCCGGCTAGATGGCGGCCTCTTTCCTGGCAAAGGGGGAGGAATGCGGACAGCCAAGCTGGCCCGGGCCCCGTCGGGCACCGAGGAGGAAGCGTGTGCCGAGTCACGGCTGGCAGCAGCCAATGGAGTCCTGCGACTGCAGGAAAGGAGACCTGGCAAGAGGGCCAGAGGGGACCCCTCCCCCCGGATCTCAGCAGAACGTGCAGAAAAGAACACAGAAAAGGAAGACGCGGAAGATGCAGAGAATGTTGCAAAGGCAGGCAGAGGAGGCAGACATCCATCCAGGGTTGTGGGCTCCCAGGGCGAGAGAGGACGACAGAGGCCACGGTGGGCAGGGACTGGACTAGATGATCTCCGAGGTCTCTCCCACCTCTCCCGTGGCCTGGACCATCCTGGAGGTTGTAGTCCAACACACGTGGGCTGGCTGGAACAGAAGCCCTGTGCCCTGACCATGCCGACTACCCCAGCAGGCCTGGCTCCAGCCCGAGCCTCAGCACCCACCTCGGGGCACGCGGTTCTGGTCACGGCCGGATCAGCACTGCTCAGCCTCAGAGATGACCCTCCGGGGGGCCGTGCTTGTACAGGGTGGGGGGATCACTGAGCAAGAGCAGCCTTTTCCAAAAGTTTATTGTGAACAGTGAAAAAAGGAAGCGCAGTGGCCTCAGTCCCCGAAGCAGCTGAGCAGGAGGTGCCTGCGCGCGACCAATGCCACGGGTCACCTGCCTGTCCACCCAGGAATCGGGGCCCAAAGCAAAGTCCCAAGCCAGGCCTGCTCTCCCCGCCCCCCACACGCGGAATGAGACCGTCCTCGCAGGGCCTCCGTCAAGGCAGTGGCTCCACGTCGCCACACACAACGAGCACCCCTTAAACAGGGAAGAAGCCCCCCAAGCAGCAGCAGCAGCACAGAGCTGGCCAAAGCCCCCGAGAGGCGGGAGAACAGAGCCGGGGAGGGTGGGGCACTCGCTGCCCCTCTGTGAAACATCCCACATGGGGGCGGCAGCAGACCCGCCTAGCCCAAGGGGCCGGACATGCGCCTCGTGCCCCCCCCCCCGACGGGCACCTTCCGTGCCTCGCCATGTAAGCAGAATGGCAGAGCTGCCGCTTGGCCAGCCGGGTTTCGGCTCAAGAGCTCCCTGGAGGGGGACCCCGAGACGGCTGCAGGCGCCAGCCACAGCCCCACCACCCAGTGCTCGTCGGGGGCTGCCTCGGGGGCCCCCGGGGCCGCCTGGGCCTGCGGGGCCCCACCTCTGCCCACAGCCCCTGCAGGAAGCTGCTGCCCCCGGCCCTCCCCACGCAGGCAGGGCAGTGGAGCGCCTGGCCACCGGGCCCAGCCTGCCCCCACAGGGCGCTCGGCTCGCATCACGCTGCCTTCCAAGGGCTTCCGCCACGGGGGGCGTCCAAGACTGCGGAGTCAGGAGCCGCCTACGAGAGAGGACGGTGGATGGAAGAGCTCCCTGGAAGAGGCGAGAAAAGGGACGTGGAGCCATGCTGTCCCCCCAAGGGCTGCCTCATTCCGCCCCCCCCAACCACTGGAGGAACAAAGCCAGCTCCCTTGGCACGGCAGCCCGCGGCCCAAGCGGTCCCCCTGGCATGGCCCCCGCCTCCCCCCCTTCCCCTGCCAAATCCTTCATGCTCTGCGGAAAGCGGGGCCACACACCTCCGCCGACTTACCACTTCGCAGGCGGCCGGGCGCTGGGGGCCCCTTGGTGTGGGGGGGCGTGGCGTGCACTGGGTGCTTCAGCTGCAGCAGGAGCCGGCTTCCTTCCACCTCGACACCCTTGGAAAGAACAGAGCAGACCCGTCGTCTGGGACGAGCATCGGCTCGGCCGCCTCAGCCCCCACCGCAGCCAGAAGGGCGAGCACAGGGCCCCTCCAGCCCAGTCGCCCACCTGCCAAAGGGGCCCATGGCAGGGCCCGACGGCGCCCCCCTCCCACCTAGAACGCTGGCCCTACGATTGCACGGGCAGCTGCTCTCCCCCTCGGACGCACCCCCCATCAGCTGCCACAGGCGGGAGCGCCCTCCTGGCGGGTCACGCGAGCTCTCTGCCCCAGCCCGCAGCCCCCCACGCCGGACGGAGCTCGTTGGCCGGCGAGGTCCATTCCCCTTTCGGGGCCTTTGGCATCTGCTCCAGCTCCCTCGTCCCTGAATGGTACCAGTCACTACAATGCAATCCGGGGGGGGGGGCTCGCCCCTGGATCCAGGAGGGGGCCGATGCCTCCTTGAGCGAGGGAGTGGCGCCTCCCTTCGAAGGGGGCGGCGGATACACCACCTTAAAAGGCCCCATCTGGATCCGGAGGACGCAAACAATTATCGCCCCACAGCAGACATTCCCCCCCGGGGCAAGGTGCCCGAGTGGCCATGGCGGGGCAGCACCAAGCCCTCTCGGAGCCGACGGGCTGCCCAAGCGAGTGGCTTCAACAGCCGGTCCGCACAGCCGGGGCAGCTGCAGAGGGCGGCAGGCCAGAGCGGCGAGGCGCTCAGCCCGCTCTCCCCGCGCACTTGGGGCTGCTGCCATCCGGCGGGGATGGGGGGCCCCGAGCAGGAGGGAAAGAGCCGACGTCGCTCCGTCTCCAAACATTAGATGCCGCCGCTGCCACTGGAAAAGGGTTCCTGCCTCTAAGTTACAGCACTATGGAACTGTTACTCGTGCCTTCCACCACACAAAGGTGTGCAAAGTTTTTCAGCCTCTCGCCGACAAACCCGACCGGGAAGCGGAATGGCTGCCAGTGCGGCGCCCCGTCTCTCGGAAACAGCACGCCAGTCACGACTCAGGCCACAGGTGACCTCACATCCGCCTTCTCTGCATGAAATGTTGCTCGCAGAAAATTCCGGGTGTATTTGATTACATCTGATTTCAGTATTTTATTATTAGCATTTTTTACTGCTTGGCTTCTAGTTATTTTAGTGAATTATCAGGTTTTGGCATTATATTTAAAAACTAATACACAAAGTACTATATTATGTATATAATGCTTTTTATTTTTTCCTCAGCAGTCCCCCCGCCCAAAAATTCCTATTTTTGCTGGTCACCAGCTGTCAAAAGGTTGAAAAGCACTGGTCTCAATCCATTTTAATTGGGCTTTAGGTACCAGGATGGAATGGAATGGAAGCTACCGTGGCCGCTCTGGGGGGATGACCGACGCTGGGGAGAGACGGGGCACCGTGGCCCTGCTGACTCCCCTGGATCGCAGCAGCTTCCAACAGCATCGGCCACGGGATCCTTCTGGTGAGGCTGGCTGGGCTAGGCGCTGGCGGCACCGCTCTGCCGTGGCTCTGCCCCTACCCGGCCAACCGGCTGCGGCTGGTGAAGCTGGGGAATGTCGCTCTGCCGTGGCAAGTATGCCAGGGAGTTCCACAGGGCCCGTCCGGCCCCCATGCGCTTCAGCATCTACCTGAAACCGCCGGGCAGGGCCATCTGGAGGCACGGCCGAAGGGTCGCCAGTGTGCTGGCGAGGAGCGCTCCCTCTCAGCCGAGGCCGATTTTCCAGCCATGTTCCTAGGGGACGAGCGCAGCCTTGCCACGGTTATCCACGTGCCGGTAACCTCCTGCCCGGATTATCGTCATGCGCTCTGCATGGGGCTGCCTCTGAAGACGGTCGGGGCACCTCAGCTAACCCAAAACAGCGCAGCACGGCCCCCGACAAGGGCCGGCCGAGAGGACGCATCATGCCAGCCCACCACCGACTGCACTGGCTGCACAGCGCTGCCCCGGCCCAATCCAAAGTGCTCACGCCACGATGCAAAGCGGCACGCGGCTTGGGTCCGGATCCCTGCGTCTCTCCATACAGCCCGACCGACCACTCAGGTCATCAACAGCAGCCCTCCTTCGCGAACCCCCCCCCCGCCAAAAAATGAGGTGGGGGGGACTGGTGAGGAAAAGGGCCTTCTCTGTCACCCCCCCCTTTGGAATTCCCTTCCGAGGGAGCTGCAGCCGGCACCCGCTTTTCACTGCTTTTGGCACCAAGTTAAAATGTCTTTATTTGTACGTGTTTAGATTATGATTGTTCATCTTACTGCTTGATTGTTCGCTGTTTTATTGCTTATGCGCTGTTTATCCTCCTGTCGCATCTATACTGTATTTTTATTCTATTATGTGCTATGGTGTTAGTAATTATTGTCGATGTTTTTATCTGTACCGTTGCCGTGATTGCGATGTGGGCCACCGAGAGTGGCTCCTGGCCCACAAATGCAGCAGACGGAGGGCCGTTCAACGTGAGTTCGCAACTGCTGTGTGGAACACGTGCCCCTCGGCTGGCCCAGCCACGCTGCAGCAACCCCCGGCCAGTGAAAGGCCACGGGTGCCGTCCCCGGGGCTCCTCTGCAAAGGCGGCCGTGGGCAGCCCCCCCCCCCGCCCCGTGGGGCTCGGGGTTCCCAGGGCAGTCGAACCGGGCTGGGCTTGGGGCCACACCCCAACTCAGGCTCCCGAGAGGCCTGCCACGCAACCCCCACACCGCCAGGATGGAAGAGGCCGAGGCAGGGCTGAGCAGCCGAGCGAGATGCGTGCATGCTCCGCACTGGCCCGCGTTTCCACCTCCACGCATTTCGCACACGGCCCGAGGCGGCGCGCAGACCCCGGGATCCCGGCAGAGGAGCAAGGGCTCCGGCGGGGCAGCTCCACTCCCAAAGCCGGAGGAGGCTGCCTCTGCGCAGCTTCGGACAGAGCAGAGGCCAGGAGCAGGGAGGCCAGGCAGGGGCCTTCCCTGCAGCCACCAGGGCCTTGCTGTGCCGTCGCACCAGCTGCCGCACGGAAGGACGGACGGACGGACAACGGAAGGAGGGGCTGCTCACCTGCAAGGCCACATAGGCTGCCTCGGCTGCTTCCTGGTCTAAGTAGTTGACAAAGGCACAGAACCTCCGAGGGAGTCGGCGGATGGAGTCGATCGGCCCAAACCTGCGCCCCGGGGAGAAGCGCCACCAGAGCACCGTGAATGCGCCCCGCCTGGGCCCCAGCGCTCGTCTGGCCGTGGGAAACAAGCCTCCCGCCTGCAGCTGCCCAGCCCCCGCTCTCCGGGCCTGGACAGCCGAGGTTGGGTGAGACGGGGGGGGGGGGGAGAGCTACTGCTGTTCACATCACCAGAGCAGGGGTGGGGGGGGCAGTACTTACGGCTGAAAGTACCAGAGCAGAACCTCCTCCGTGATCTTCGGGGTGAGATTCCCGACCCATATGGCAAACAGCTCCCTGCAACAGAGCACATTCTGGCCACATGCAGGGAAGAACGGGGGGGGGGGACCAAGTGTCACCCCACATGGGCCTCACCCCGCACCACCCGGTCAGCCAGCCCCACAGGCCCCACGTTCCAGAAGCTCCCCTGGATCAGGTCCAAAGAGTTTGCGCCATCACACCGAGCAGCGAGAGGAATCGCGCGCGAGCCGACTCACGTCCTGCCCGGCCCAGTGCTCCTCTCCCCTGTGGGCAATCCAGCCGCCAGCAGGGCAAGACCTGCCCCCGCCCGGCTCCTCAGCGACCGGCGCGCACCAGTGACCCCCGGCAACTGCCAGCGGCGCTGGCGCACGGCCGGCCGGCGGCACCGTGCAGAGCCTGCCCCGCCACGGACGCAGCCAAGCCCACTTGCAGCCACCGGGCTGGCGGCCGGCACCGCTTCTCATCTCCGTGAACGCCAGTCTCACCACGCGCTGTGCGAATGACGTCATTTTATCTGTCCTGAATTTCTCACGAATCGCCTCCGTGGGATGACCTGGACTCTGGCGCACGGAAGAGGGAGAAAGCACTTCCTCTCCAGCTCATGCACTATTTTGGACGCCTCGACCGCATCTCCCTCTGCTTGCCCTTTGCTACTCACAAGGAACCCGTCACTGCAGCCGCCCGATCCTGGCCGCCCTGCTGCGCATTTCTCCACTGCTGTGCGGTCCCTTGTGAATAGCAGCTACCAGAGCGGAACACAACATCCCAAGCGCGGCTGCACCAAAGAGCCGCGTGAGGCGGCGAGGAGCGCCTCGGCGGCTCGTTGTGAGCTCCCTTCCCAACTATGCCTAGCAGGAGTCTTCCCTCTTCACAGCAGCTGTGCACTGGGGCAACGTTTTCATCCAGCTGCCCAAGATTTCTTTCTTGATCGGTCACAGGGCACTCTGATCCCAACAACCCACACTTGACCTTGGGAATGTTTGGTCCCGACACACTTTGCTTGGCACTCGCTTGCTGCCCCGAGGCCCCTTCCCCCAGCATGACGCTCCCCCGGGAACCCTTCGCGATCCCTTTGCTTTCCGCTAACTGCACGGTTGGGCATTTTGTGGGCATCAGGCAGTGACAAGGAGAATTCAATCCATGTCACTTCCAGGTTGTGGCCCCTCAAAAGGAGAACTCAAAAGTGCGTGTGTGTGTGTGTGGGGGGATGCTTCCGCCAGGTCCCATGTGGCCCAGGACAGCCTTGGCGGGAGCGTGGCCACGCCTGCCCCTACGGCGGAGCCAACAGCTGTCCACGGAGCGAGGCCCACCACAGGGAGGACTGTGGGCAACCGGCTGCGGCCAGCCCCCCGTCCAGCGGCGAGGAGCCCCGTCCCGCCCGAGGGCTGCGTGTGCTTGCGCAGGGGCAAAACCAGAAGGGCGCGTTCTCCCACCCCGTCCATCTCGCAGAGGCAATGCAGCAGGATGGGGACCTGCCACAAGCCCCCACAGCCTTGCTTCCCCCAGTTCTCTGTGGTCTGCTGGGATCATGCGACCAGCAAGTGGACCCCCACCGCCCAGCAGATCTGGGGGGAAGTAAGACATGGGGGAAATGGGGGAGCAGAGAGGAGGAGCGGTGGGAAAGGCCTCGGAGCCTGTCGCGGGCCCACGCGGGGCACCGGCACCTCAGCCACACTGGCAAGGCAGGACGACGGAGGAAGCTGAAGCGAGGAGGGGAACGGTGGCAGCAGGGAAGGGCGACAACTGGCCGCTGCAGGGGCCGTGGAGATGCCAAGCGGGCTGGGATCATGCTGTGAGTTGCAATTCCAGCGGGTTTGGGGCTCAGCTACAGGAACTGCTTCCGGCTTCAAATGGCGGGTTCATGTTCCGAAGAAACCAGGCCCAAGTATCGGCTGCGAGCCCAGCCCTGCTGCTCTGGGGGCTCTGGGAATGCAGCTGCTCCCCCGGCACTCACCTGCCCAAGGCGTGCGCAGCTGAAGGAATCGGCATCGTGCTCCGAGAGCCGGTGAGCGCGGCCATCGCTACAGGCCCTCCTGCTGGGCCATCCCCACGTGCTGAAGACTGACCACCTGGCCCGGAAGGAAGAATGCAGCGACGCACTGTGGGAAAGGGCCTTCCGAGACCCCCCACGTCCCTCCACTGCCTGCTCAGTGGACTGACGCACGGCCGTCCCAGCAAGCACCGCCCGAGCGAGGGTTGGCCCCCTCCCACGGGGGGAAGCTCCTTACCAGGCAGAGGCACCTGGGCTTCTCTGGTCAGGCCGCCCCAGCCCAGAGCACAGCAGCTGTAGCCGTTCTCCTGTCGGAGGAAAGAGAGCAGGGCGGCCGTCTGGTCCCGCTCTGGCCCTGCAGCAGAAAGCCGGGCGCAGCCACAGGGCAAGGCTCGGCGGACATGGATCCACCGGGGCTGTGTGGACGGGCCGGGCCTGGAGCGCCGGAGCCAAGCGGAGGGCGGTGGGCCCCCCTCAATGGAGCTGGGGCTCTGGATGCCGCCACAGCACAGGGCAAGGCGAGCACTCTCCCAGGCAGCCAGAAGAGGACCGACTGCGCTGCCCCCCACTTCCTCCCTCCTGCAAACAAGCCCCCCTGGTGTGCAGGCCCCAGTGACGACCTCAGAGCCCCACACAGAGGCCTGGACACCCGGCCCTCCAGGCCAGGCCAGGCCGGCCTGCCCAGCCCCGCCTCGCTCACCAGCACACGCTGCAGCTGGCACTTCTTCAGCTGGGCGGCGGCATCTGCGCGGAACTCGTCCAGCCGCAGCAGCTCCTCGAAGGTCCGCGCAGCCTCTGCGTAGTGCTGGAGGTGGGGAGGGGCACGGCGGTCTCTCAGCGCTCCGACAGCCCGGGGCGCCACACGCCACACCGGCCGCTCCCCAGGGGCCCCGTGCTCAAGGGGAGGCGCCCTGCCCTGCCCTACCTTGAGGCCCATCAGCGCCTTGCCTCGGCGGAACAGGCCTTTGGGCCAGCCAGGGTGCAGGCTGAGGGCGAGCTGAGCGTCGCGCAGGGCCTCTGCGCAGCACTGCAGCCTCTCATAGCAGAAGGAGCGGTTCCCAAAGAACCTGGAAGAGAGGCGGGAATCAGCGCTCCAGCCCACGGGGCCTGCCTGCCTGGAAAACTCACTCACAGCCGCAGCCGCCACAGAGGCAGCGGGACACACAAATGGCTAGACACTGGTCAGGACGCGGTGTTTAATTTTAATTCTTGTCTTCCTGCTAAGCTGTCCCGAGACCACGGTGGGGGATGGTCTGAAAAAGCTTTTTAAGAAGCTTAGATAGAACAAGTGGAGCGGTCTCCTGCAGGAGTCACTCAGTGCTTCGTGTATGAGAAGCAGCTTCTCAGACCCAGCGCCCAGGATGGGTCTTCCGGGCTCACTGAGCTACCGGCCTGCCTGGACAGAAAGGCAGGGGCCTCTGGGAACAGACTCTGGCAGTGGGGCCGTGAGGAGAGATTTGGATTCTGGGACCAAGCCAAGGCTCCTGAACATGGAGCATCGGCGACTGATGGGCTGCACCTCACAAAGAACGAGAAGCGTGCAGGAGATGTGTGCTCAGGTCAGCAGCTCCAACAGCTCCGCGCTGGAGGCTGCCCACGGTCTGCGCAGCTGCTAGGCCGACCTGGAGAATCCGGAGGGCATCAAGACGCGCTCCTGATCGGCAAGCTCCCAGGGCAGGCCATCCCCGCGGGTCCTCGACACTCGGAGGTTCGAACGTACGGTGAGATGGGGCCAAGCCACGCAGAAGAGGCGGGCAAGTGTCATCACCGCACATCTCTGGGTGATACCCAGTTTCTCTGGCCATGAGGTATGAAACACCGAACCACCGATATTCAAAGGGAAGGATGCTACGGAGGAGAGGAGGAAGGCGGGACGGGGCCACGCTCTGCCCAGGCTCACCTGTATTCGCGTGGGTTCAGCTTGATGGCTTCCGTGAAGAGGAGGACCGCCTCCCGATAGTGGCCCTGCCTTGCCGTCTCATTTCCACAGTCTGGAGAAGCCCAGAGGAAACGGCATCGCGGGCATGAGATGGGGCCTTCTGAGCAGCTGGCCCACCCTTTCCTCCCCACTCTGCAGGCAGGGAGCCCTGCAAACACCTCCAAGTGCCCCCCGGGGAGAGAGACGCCCTGCACTCAGCGGGGGACAAGGGTCTCCCGCCACCCCTCCCGCAAAGAGTAGCTGAGAGAGCGGTCTGGTGGGACGAAGGCAACCGCGAGGATGGGGGCGCCACCCCCCCCGCGAGAGCCCACCTGCCAGCACCATACTCTGCTCCACAGGAGTCCTCTGGGGTGCAGCCTGGAGCACCTGGAAGCCAGAACAGGGCATGGATCAGGAGCTGCTGCAGCTGCACTGGGTGCACCCGAAAGGGACACATCGGGCCGAGGCTCCCGGACGGGGCCACCGCCACGGCAGAGAAGAGGGCGCTGAAGAGCAGCCCTTCCTGGCCAGACAAAAGGCCCACCGGGCCCAGTCTGCTGTCCGTGCCATGGCCACACAGGTGCCAGTGAGAAGCCCGCGGGCGGGAGGCGAGTGCCACGGCAGCCTCCCGCCGTGGTCCTCCGCGACCGGTGCGCGCAGCAGTGGCACCTCTGACACTGGAAGGGGCCTGCAGCAGCCGGGACCCCAACAGGCCTCTCACCGAGTTGGTCCAATCCCCTCCGGCAGCCCTCTGAATCGGCAGCCTTCGGCACGCTGCTCTGCAGCAAGGTCCCTCGGTCCACCCTGCGCTGCGCAAAGCCATTCCTCTGCTCTCCTGAACCTCCCGAGAACCCGCTTCACGGAGTGACCCACACGGGTTCCAGTATGTGAGGGGCACAATGACTCCCCACCCCCTTTCTCCCCTCAAACGCTGCCGCCTGTCCTCATGGGGCACGTGCTCCTTCCCTCTGGTCAGCTGAGCTGCTCCTTTCCTTGCTGCACCGTTTCCATCAGTATCCCAAGCGCGATCACACCGCCGATGAGGGCGAGCCGGCCTTGCATCCAGCTCTTTTCCCAGCTGTGCCCAACGGAAACTTTGCCTTGCCGCAAATACTGGCTCAGCACTTCCACCAGTCTGCCTGTCACGACCTCGGGATCCCTTTCCTGGTCAGGGACCAGCAGCTCAGGTCCAGGTGGGCAGCTCCCGGCTCCTGGGCCTGGCTCATTTGCTCTGGCATGCCCTCCTCTCTTGTAATACTGGAATCTAAATCTAAGAGTCTCGGCCAAAGCAGCTGCGCCAAGTTACAGCACAGAGACTAGAAGTCAGCGAGAGACACGAACAGGCATGCGCCAACCCGCTCAGGAGCCGAGTGGTCACTGCAGAAAGGACGACACTGGACCAGATGGGCCGCGCCAGGGCTCTGCTGGCGCTCTTGTGCGCAAGGGGCGGAGGAGCGTGGCCGACAGCCTCACCTCCTGCGCGGCGCTCGCCGGCGCCTCCTTTCCGTCCGGCTTGGCTGCCTTCTCCTTCTTTGGCGGCAATGACTTGGCGCCCACCTTCAGGCGAGCCTTTGATACGAAGGTGCTGCTGAGATCAAGCTCCTCCTGCAGAGACCAGATGGGAAAGAACAACCCTGTACGGCACCCGAGTGTCACTGCCACCTTCCTAGGAAGCGTTCCCAAAAGGACAAAGGCCTGACACCAACACTGCACCAGAAGCAAACACTATCAGGCTGAAAAACAGGTGTGAAGCCGCCATGCGTCAGGAAGCGATCAATGCACTGCATACCTTCACCATCATCTACCGTCGGAGGCACAACGGATCAGTGCGGGAAGGCAACTGCTCAGCCGAAAGGAATGGCATGAACGGAGCCGAGCTGCCTCCTCTGGTCGGCTGAGCCCCCCCGGCCCTCTTCCTCCAGCCCAGCGAGCGCAGCCAGCGGCCCCGGACAGCTCCCGCTCACCTCCGTCTCCTCCTCCGTGCTCCGCCTGGGGCTTCTGCTTGGGGAGGCCTCGCTGGAGCTCCCCTCCGAGTCAGCAGGGCTGGGCCCCAGGGCACTCGCAACAGTGACCAAGGGCTGCGGATCCGGCACGTCTGTGCTGCCCGAGGGTCCATCCTATGAAAGGAAAGGGGTCACGACTTGCGAGGAGGCCACAAGGCTCCCGCCGAAGCCAGGGGAAGCGCGGAGTTGGGCACCGGCGCAGTCCCTGCCCTGCCCTGCCCTGGCCTGCCCTGCGCCTCCCAGGGCCAGACTGGGGCTCTCGCGCGGGCGCTGCACTGACGAGGGGAAGTGCTGCCCGTGCGGGTTGGGCACGAAGTCCCTTCCGGGACATTCGGCTCAGGGGGGCAGTCTGTGGCCCAAGGCGCACCCCCCGCCCCACGCACACAACCGCTCACTGCCTGGCTCTTGGTCTTCAGCTCCTGGTCACGCTTGGCCTGCCTCTTCCGGTCCTTTTGCCTCTGCAGCAGAAACAAGGAAGCGAGCGCCCTTTCCTTCCGCTTTCAATCACGTTTCTTGCTCTCCCCGCGGTAACGCTGCCGCACCACCCACCAGCCCCGGCACAGGCAATTACCCTCTTCTTCATCCGCTTCTTCTCCGCCTTCTTCTTGATGCGCTCCTCTTCAGCGACCAGCTCCTCAGCATTCTTCTCCGCTTCCTGGGAGGAAGCAGGTGAGTGAGCCCCCTTCGTGAGCCAGGCGGCCCCACCCTCGCCCGCAATCCCCACTGGCCCGGCTCCCCCAGGCTGCAAAGGGCAGGTGGAGACGCCCGGACGCAGTGCAGCACAGAGGCCGGCACGTGTGGCCTAGGCAAAGATGGGGAGGGTGGGACGGGACAGGCAAAGGGACCCCGCCGCCCCCCGGAATCCGGCCCACAAAAGCAGCGGTGTGGAAACGAATACTGAGAGTGACCCGAGAGAAGCACCACCAGAAGGCTGGGACGGGCGAAGGGCTGCCATCAGGGACACCCCACCTCAGCTCTCTCCTCGCCCCACCTCAGCTGTGAGCTGCTGCTTCTGGGGAACCACAACACGCAGCAGGGGGCCGTCTTGGCTGCTGCTTTCCCGCGGGGAGAGGAAGAACTTCCGGAAGCCGCAGTATGTGGCCGGGCGGGCGTGGCGGGCCCTCTCCTCCTCTGGCTCCCCCCCCGCAGCCCTCCCAGTCCTCGTCCTCGTCGTAGTCGCTCTCCTCACAGTACCAGCATGGCTCCCCATCAATGTCTGAAAACACAGAAACAGAGCGCATCAGAAGGGGCCTCCCGGGCCATCTAGTCTGACCGCCAACTCCAGCCGGAGGCATGAGGCCGGGCTCGGTGCAGAGAGGCGAGGGCCAGGAATGCAGCCGCTGGCGCAGCCTGTCCTCAGCACAAGGAGGGCGCCCAGCGAGGCTGGCGGAGGAGAGCAGCCAGACACGCACACGGGCCAAGAGAGGGGCTTCTGCGCCCCACCAAGCCTTGATGAGCAGAGCCCTCGGAGCTGGCAGGCAGCCATTTAGCGAACAGATGGGAAGCATCTGGACTGGCTTCGGGTCCGCCGAGGGACCTTCTCTCCCCCAACTCAGAACGTCTTCTGGCCTCGGAGAAGCAGCTGTTGTGGTGAAGGGGTGGAGCCAACGGTCTTTGCAAGCTGAAGGTCACCTGGACGGTGAACGTGCCGGGGCCCCTCAGCGAGCCCCCACACCTGAAGCCACAGGGTGGACAAGCGCTGCCGGCCGGAAAGAGGGTCCCAGACTTTTAGGAAGCAGGTGAATTCATGTTATTAGGTTTGCTGAAAAGACTGCTCAGAAGATGCTGGTCCAGCACTGATAACAACATACCTTACTATAAAACGCAAGTGCAAAACTCTTAAAAATAGACAGTTAAAAACTTAAAAGTTGTAACAAAGTAGTAATTGTATTAAAGCGAGGGTGTCCAACCTTGTGGCTTCTCTGCACCACACAGGAAGAAGAATCGTCTCGGGCTGCACATTAAAGACACACACACTAACAAAAGCTGATGAGCAAAAACAAGTTTGCACATAATTTGTGCAAAATTCACTACCACAGATGAGGAAAAAAGTCTTCACATAATACTCCTAATTACGTGGCACCCTGTTCAGAGAGTCTTTTAAAATCTTCAAGCAAGTCCCAAGTTTGCAATCACTAATAAAGAAAATGAACAAATCTAAGTAACAAAACTTCATTTTTAAAATATTTTTTACTATAAAAGAGGGCAACAAAAAACTAGTGGGATATTTGACATTGTAATTGAGAAACTAATCCCACCGTATCTGGTTCAATGGAAGTAGCTGAAATTCTCAGTGAGTTCTCAAGGTGCTCATCAGATGCTCTGGCTCTAATTTTACTCTTAGTTGGCTTCATTCTCTAAAATAGTTGCTCACAAATGTAGGTGCTGTCAAAAAGCGAAGTCATGAATAAAGCATAATTGTGAAGCGAGGGGCATTTGTCTCTGGGATGACAGGCCCGTGATCGAATTTTTCTTTAAACTGAATGTCAGTTTGCAGCTCTATGCATTTCATTTGAAAACTGGCAGGTAACATTTATGTCAACTGAAAATGAAGTTGCAAATATACCAAGACAGTGATTATTTTCCTGGAAATCTTGAAAACTGTTTTAAAATTCCTGTATCAAATCAAAAAGAAAGGCTGCATATTTTCTGCTGTTCACAAGAGAGAGTTTGGCCTACTTACCGAAATGTATAAAACTGTTTGCAATGGTAGGCTGAAATATTATTGATAATAGCTGCGTTTCACTTGCCAAGTCACCAAAAGCATATGTCAAGTCTGATAGTGTCAATGTGACTGTCTGTGTTTGGAAAACAACACACTGGAAGCCATGCATGCGTGCAAATAGCGAGCACATACATATGTTTATTTGATGTGACATTGTGACATGACGTTGTCAGCTACAAAGTTCATGCTCGAGAACTGCGCAATCGAGTGACCAAAAAACCCACAAAAAGCTCTTAATGCTTTAAGTAAGTTTATGTTTTTGTGTTGGGTTGAATTCATAGCAATCCTGGGCCGCGTGCAGCCTCTGAGCTGCAGGCTGGACACCCCGGTAATAAAGGCAAGATCACACAAGACTGAAGCAGCTTTACAGTAAATACTTAAATACCGGTTTAAAAAATAGTTGCCACGATCACTCTTATATTCAAATATTTTATAGATATTAAAGACATTTATAGACTTAGGTTTGATTTGCAATTCTTGAGTAAGAAAATATATCTTCATAAAATTGATTTTATGCAGCCTGAAATGCCTAGGAGTAACCAAAACACCAAACAAACCTCTGGCAAATCTCTAGGGTTAGGGTTAGGGTTGAGGAGCAAGAATGGGGAGGTGACGATCCCCAGTGCCACCCACCCTGCCCTTCACTGGAGTTCCGGCACTTCCAATTACTGACCGGGTAAATGGCTCAAAATGGCAGGGACCTAACAGAGGCAGAAGAGATTAAGATGAGGTGGCAAGATTACACAGAAGAACCATACAAGAAAGAGCTTAACGTCCCTGATAACCATGATGGGGTGGTCACTGACCTCGAGCCAGACATCCTGGAATGTGCAGTCAAATGGGCCTTAGGAAGTCTGAGCAGCAACAAAGCTAGTGGAGGCGACAGCATTCCAGCTGAGCTATTCAAAATCCTAAAAGATGCTGTAAAAGTGCTACACTCAATATGCCAGCAAATTTGGAAAACTCAACAGTGGCCACAGGATTGGAAAAGGTCAGTTTACATTCCCATCCCAAAGAAGGGCAATGCCAAAGAATGTTCAAACTACCACACCATTGCACTCATTTCACATGCTAGCAAAGTGATGCTCAAAATCCTACAAGCTAGGCTCCACAGTACGTGGACCGAGAACTACCAGAAGTACAGGCAGGATTTCGAAGAGGGAGAGGAACTAGAGATCAAATGGCCAACATACGCTGGATCATGGAGAAAGCTAGGGAGTTCCAGAAAAACATCTACTTCTGCTTCATTGACTATGCTAAAGCCTTTGATTGTGTGGATCACAACAAATTGTGGCAAGTTCTTAAAGGGATGGGAGTACCAGACCATCTTATTTGTCTCTTGAGAAATCTATATGTGGGTCAAGGAGCAATAGTGAGAACTGGACACGGAACCACTGATTGGTTCAAAATTGAGAAGGAGTTCGGCAAGGCTGTACACTGTCGTCCTGCCTATTTAACTTATATGCAGAGCACATCATGAGAAAGGGGCTGGATGAATCATGAAAGGGGCTGGAATTAAGATTGCTGGGAGAAATATCAACAACCTCAGATATGCAGATGATACCACTCTCATGGCAGAAAGTGAAGAGGAACTAAAGAGCCTCTTGATGCAGGTGAAGGAGGAGAGAGCAAAAGTTGGCTTGAAACTCGACATTAAGAAAACTAAGATCATAGCATCCGGCCCTATCACTTCCTGGCAAATAGACGGGGGGAATAAGGAGGTAGTGACAGATTTTATTTTCCTGGGCTCCAAGATCACTGCAGACAGGGACTGCAGTCAGGAAATTAAAAGACGCTTGCTCCTGGGGAGGAAAGCTATGGCAAATCTAGACAGCATACTAAAAAGCAGAGACATCACCCTGCCAACAAAAATGCATATAGTCAAGCTATGGTTTTCCCAGTTGCAATGTATGGCTGTGAAAGCTGGACCATAAGGAAGGCTGAGCGCCGAAGGATTGAGGCCTTTGAATTGTGGTGCTGGAGGAGACTCCTGCGAGTCCCTTGGACTGCAGTCAGTCCTAGAGGAGACTGCTCTTTAGAAGGCCAGATACTGAAGACGAAGCTCAAATACTTTGGCACCTAATGAGAAGGAAGGACTCCCTGGAGAAGAGCCTAATGCTGGGAACCATAGATGGCAAAAGAAGAAGGGGCTAGCAGAGAATTAGGTGGCTAGATGGGGTCACTGGGGCCATCAGCGTGAACTTAAGTGGACTCTGGGGGACGGTGGAGGACAGGAAGGCCTGGAGGAATGTTGTCCATGGGGTCGCGATGCCTCGGGCACGACTTCGCAACTAGCAACAACAACAAAATCAATGGCTCTGTCCCAAGGCTACCAGCCCTGTTTTATGGGAGAATGGAAAGCATTAGCATTATGTGCTAGACGCCCTATCTTTACGCTACGTTAGTTGTGAAGTCGTGTCCGACCCATCACGACCCCATGGACAACATTCCTCCAGGCTCTCACCTTGTTACACCTATCGGCTGAATAGGCCAATCAGTCTTCAATCGGGAATCTGGAACCCAGAATACGGCCATTTCTTTTTAAGCTCTTAGGACAAAGAAGGAAAAACGCTTGGGAAATTCTATTTCCCGCTGAAGCGCTAAGATTTAAGAATCCTAACACATTTCTGTTTAAGAACAGAACACCTGAATGTCACTTTATGCAAGTTCCATTTCGACCTGATGTTACAAACGTATTTCTAGTTAAAGTGAAACTGCATCAGGTATTTTTGTTTCACCAGTTCTTGTTAGCACAAAACCAAAGCTGGAGACACTCGAACAGAAGCCGGAGCGCCACCGGGGCGGGGCGGGGCGAGCGGGGGTCCGCAACACCGGGGGGTGGCCTCGACGGCCTTCGCGGCCCCCCCAACTCTGCTCTTCCGGGCTCCTATGGGACTAGAGCCCCGCCAAAGCCATTTCCGGCGGATGCTCCACCTGAAGCGCCGCGTCCGGCCGGGCCGCCACCGCCGGCCGAGCGGTGCGCGCGCCCGCAAGCCCCGGCCGCGCCTTCCGGGCCCGCGCCTCACCTGGGCACCTCCGCCCCGCCGCCAGGTAGGCCTCGTGCTGGGCGTGCAGCGCCGCCGCCTCCTCGTCCTCGTCCGCCTCCGCCGGCAGGCGCCGGATCAGGATCATGCTGCCCGGGGCGGCGGCGGGAGGCCCCGGCTCGGCTCCGGCTGCGCCCGCACCACGCGACCCCGCCGGCCGGAACCGG